TCTCTCTCTCTCTCTTCTTCTTCTTCTTTCTTTCTTCTCTCTCTCTCTCTCTCTCTCTCTCTCTCTCTCTCTCTCTCTCTCTCTCTCTCTCTCTTCTCCCGGAACTGACACTCGGAACCGCCGCCGGCGACGCATCGCCGACGATGTATTGTCCGGTCGCGCGCCGTCAGCGAGCCACGTCGCTCCGTCGAAAGGGTTGAAAGCCAAGAGGAGGAGAAGGTCATCATCGCAGGAACAACCGAGACGGAACCGCGAGAAAGTGCGTCCCAATTGCCGGTAAGTAACGAGCGATGTATCATCAAATGACTTCCTTGTACCGTTTGCCGAATTTGGCGAAAGTGTTTTGCTTTCTTTTTTTCATTCGTGACAAAAACGTCAAAGTGGAATTACCAAACTGCGAGGAGGTATTCGAGAAACTACGAATTATACCGAGGCGATCGTGTCACAATTATTACAGGTGTTGACAGGTACGTGACGACAGAGTTCGATGACGATAAAGTCATCGAAATATTCCCGCTCATCGAGTGAATCAGTTCTTTTTTTTCTTTTTTTATAACAAGAAACTTATTTTTAACGCGACTCGAATAATATCTAATCCGTTTGTCCGAACACTCGAGCCAAAGTTTTACTTTATCTTTGAAATTCAAGCGCGAATATTCCACGAAATTCGACAAATTTTCAGGCTTTCTGCATGGAGTTCGTTCTTGATTCAATTTGACGCGGCATTCTCCGCGCGCGCTAAGCGATTGCTCCAGTTTGTAGGAGTTTCCACGGTGTCGAAATAAACTTTTCATCCCAGGGAATGCTTCTCTTTTTTTTTTCCGCTAGAACCTCGCTAGGATTGCCTCGCGGTGTTGATATCGCATTCTTTCTCGTGGAATTTCATGCGTGTTTCGGTAGGCATACACGTCGTTGCGTAGACAACAACAGCAATCGTGAGAGCGGCAACGATCGATGATAGACGTTTCTTTCTTTATTTTGCAACAATATTAATATAATCTGTTTATCTGTTTACCCGCGACGAGCTTTAGCATTCATCTCTCGTCGATCTCGTTGCATTCCGTGCATTTATATTTTAATTATAAGATTGTCTTTGTAGCTTTGTAGCGTTTAAGAATTGATCTCCTAATGATTATTTTTATCGCCAATGTCTATTAATTTTAATTTTGGTTTAATTTTTACTTTTTCTAATTCTTAGAAAAAAAGGTTCTTGAAAAAGTAAATTAAATCGAGATTAAAATTAGCTTATATCGGTGAGATTTCTTAAGAAAATGGGCATTAATTTGCTTCAGAGATTCAACAATCTTCCCCTTCCCCCTCCCTCACTGTGCTCCGAATTTCAAAGTGAAAAACCGTTCGAGCGGATCGCACATCGCATACATTTCAAATATGACACGCAGTGTCTCGGTCGATGATAACCGTTCAATGAGCCTCGCGAATTGTATCAGTTATACATTATCTCGCGCACCTCGTCTCTCTTGTTTGGTAACACAGGTATCGAGCACAAGCTCGAGTCTGGCATGTGTTTGTGTATCTGCACGTCTAGGTCATTCCGCACGATGGTTCCCGTGTGCTTTGCATCCCGGTAACGGTTCCGAAAGCAACCACCGCACCGCTGCCTCCTCGTAACACTTCGCGACCTCGTGTGCGCTCTGACCTTTATATTTCTATTTATGTAAATAAAGACAATATCCGTGTGTTTGTAACAATATCCGTTTTGATGCCGCGCAATAAACAACGATGATCGATGCATATTCAAAATTCGCACGATGAACAGTTCGAGTCGATTAATCGGTCGATTATGTAACCAGAATCGTAAAATTTCTAGTGTGGACTGAGAAAAGATATTTTTAATAAATGATAAGAGAGACTGATAAAATTCATGTTGATACACAATTACATTGTGAGAAAATGTTGATGTTCTCGATTCTAAATCGCGGCGAAATTAAGACAGCAAACGTGAAGGAGGACGTGTATCGCCATTAATTATGTTATCACAAAAAGGTTCTGGAGATGCAACAAAAAGTTTGAAAGTGTCAAATACATGGCACGGCGCGCTCGCGTGCCCCCGATATTTTTTCCCCATCGATCAATTGTCTGCGAATGCTCCTTCGGCGATTCCTTCCGTCCGGTCCTTTTCGGCCATCCCTTGCAACCTTGTTCTGGCCGGGACTGTACCCGTTGTTCGCAAAGACGATCGTTACCCACCCCGGGCAAGGATCTCTAAGAAAGTTGCAAGTGCAAAGGCTGAGCGGGCACGAGTTGCGATGCAAATGCCGTCGGGTTCCTGGCATTCTAATTCTTATGCGTCAGCGAGCGAGAAAACGCGGCCGAGAGTGCGGCGCGCGCGCGGAAGAAGGGAGCCCGTGCTGTCTTCTCTCGCAGGATCCAGTTTCCCTTTTTTAGTTTTTCTCTCTCTTTCTCCCTTTCTTGCCTCTCCTAGCCACCGACGGCGCAGGACGAGACTCTCTGCTGCTTTGTGCCCTGCATCCACCGAGCGCACTCGTTCTCCCTCTCGCGGGTGCGTGCGCGCTCGCGCGCGCGCGTTTTCTCGTGCTCGTTGCGCGCGCGCGGATGTGTGTGTGTGTGTGTGTGTGTTCGCGCGCGCGCGAAATTGTGTGCGTCGCAACGAGAGAAAGAGAAAGTGAGAGCGAAACGGAACCCCGCCGCACCACGCGGGCCTTCACGCTGAAGGAGAATCAATAGATGTGCGTTGCATCTTGCCCCTCCTCGTCCCCCCGCAACCCCCTCTTCACGCGTTTTGGGCTGCCACCCTTCTGCCACTGACTCCGACCTTCGCACGCGGGCGCGTACTTCGCGAGCCGTATACGATTTACGAGACGTGCAGGCGATCTACATTCGCGAATGCCATCAATCCAAGAGGAATCCACGTCGGAATATAGAATTGATCGATATAACGAGAATTTAAGTAGGCGAGCGATGCACTTTCCATTGTGCTGCATATAATTCTCTTCGTACTCGATACAAAACCTATTTTCTTCACATTTTTGTGGAAGATCGTATTAATAAAAAAAAAAAAAAAAAGTAAAAGAGTGGTTTTTTTTATCTCGCATCAATGAATGAATATGTTATGGTATGGGTGTTATTCGTGAAAGATCGGAAATTCATCAGCGACCAAGTCTATTTATGCGAGCTAATTTACTGCTCTCGCGTATCTTCGCATTATAGCTCGGAAGGACCGTTCATCCTTTTTTTCGTCCTTTCAACTTTTCCGTAACCCGTTCGTGCGTTCTGTCTACCGTGTCGTTGTGTTTTATACGCCATGTTGCTACCCTTACCTTCACCAGACGCGCGCGATCCTATCGTCTAGGAACTTGGCGCATAAATCAAGATACGATAGCGGATAAAGGCCAATTGCCACGTAGTCCTAGAAAATGGTGTAATTTGGTATGTACGCCAGGTTCGTATTTTCGACGTCAAAACTTCCCGCGGCATCGATTGTCCGTAAAGATACCCGTGTGTGAATGTCAGTCGTCCTTTTCGACCGCTTACTGAATTATTTACATCGACGATTATCGCGAAGAAAGCACACACCTTTCCACCTTTCCACCGTTTCCTTCGTGCCGATATAAATGTAATTAAGAAGGGTTAAATTAAGGAATATATTTACGACGTTTCTCCCCAAATCTATTAGGATCAACAAAGTCAAAGCTTTTCGGAGAGATATTTTTTATCGTTTGTGACTTTCGTTTATTATATATTAAAATATTGGTCACACGATAGTGCTGCATTTTTCATATCGGGATAAAGTTCGAGCGTCGAGAAAGTAAATTATTCATCATTCGGAACGAAACCTGGGACTGTTCTTGAAATTTCTCCTCCTCGTAGATCATATTCCCCGACCTTCATCTTCGGCTCTGACGACAGAGATCGAACATCCCCTTCGTCTTTGCGAGGGAGAGAACCTGCCGTCATATCTACTGTCTTTCGACATTACGCAACGACGGGCGTAACCCTCGAGGAAATAATAGGCGCCGCAAATAACTACGGTTCTCTTCTTCCCGCGGCTATGCATCGTCGCCGGTCGAAAGGCAGCCCTCGACTTTAAACGCCTCTTCGTGCATCGCGTTGTGCGTGTTAGATAGTACGCCGAAAGTAGCGACAAGGTTTGGAGGTCGATAGAACGGGAGCGAGATCGAAGGCGAGACCGAAGGGAAGGGAAAGCGGCGAATGCGAGAACGCGAGTAATCGTAATCGTAAACACACAACGCGGCGCAGCGTGGGCGATGGAGAGGAAGGAGAAGAGGAAAGAGGGAAAACGGAGGGAAGTTCTGGATGAAAGGGAAAGGGAAGAGAACGAGGGATGAAGGACGAATGAGAGTGAAGGGGGTGGCCGAGGAGGTGCGAGAGAGAGTGATGGGCGAGAGAGAGGCGCAGGTGAAAGTGAACCGAAGGTGGTCGAGTTAGAGCGGCAGCATTCGGGGAGGGTGAAAGGAGGTTAATGATTAGTTCTTCCGAGGTCGGGGGCTGTTGCCGGGTGCAGGTTGCTTGGCTCCTTCCCCTTGGCCGCCCTTTCCTCCTCTTCCTCCTCCACATCATCATCCTTCTCCTCTCGCTTCCTGCCGCCATTCCATGTTTCCCCTCTCGCGCCGATGTCCTCTCTCTTCCCCACGGTCCCTTTATCGTTCTCTTCAACCCCCTTCGCCGTGCTTTCGGCCGTTCTACCAACCTCCAAAAATTCAGACCCCCACCACCATCGTTGAAGCTACGCACGCACGATGGAGTTTGAGGGCTTGCAAGGTTGTTCTCCCCTCCATCTTGGACTGCTCCCAGGAACGTGTCGATTATTTATGGGGCCATCCTAGAAACCGCGGTATGTATGTATATATGTATGTGTATATGTATATATACACACACGCAATATATACATATATTGCGTTCCAAGAGTTTCTATTTCGTCGAGGCCGAATCTTATTGGCATCCGAGATTTTTCGGAAGGAAATGTCATCGACGTCAGTTGCGTTTCGACATTGACATTTTCCCTTTTATTTTCATAGATCTATTATCGATTATGAAGCGCAAATGTTACGTGTATTTTCCCTTTACAATACGAAGCCATATTTTGAGCCCAACAATGTTCCCTACGAGACACATTTTCGTTTTCATCGCGGTACTATCATTTTCCGCAGCGTATAGCTAAAATACAGTCTTCGGCCATTGAAAGCTTCTCACTTATGCAAATTACACGCTTATTATAGGCGGAGTAAGATATTACGCGGTTCGTATGTCGTTGGCGTAGGACGTACGGCGCGCTGCACAATGTAGCAGCGAGTCTTATATATCGATCCCGAAATTGGCGGCATCTCCACGCTCGAGAGAGGACGCATTCAGAGTCACCTGCCTAATCTGACTAACAAATTTTATGCAGGGGACAAGTGCCATGTATACGTGCATATATATATATATATATACCGGCCTCCAATCTTAATGATTAGAACGCGACTGCTGATACGCTTCCATCGAGCGTTAGAAAGATTTTATAAAGCTCGGCCCGTGTTCACGATAATTTCGAATGCAGGTGCACGACCCCTCGTCGTTAAGAAACGGTCGTAACCATCCGCCGCGCATAAATATTTAAGCTCATTCAACCAAAGCTATTGCGCGTTTATGAAAATTCATGTTAGGATCGTTATATTGTAAGAGGATAATTGCAAATTATGCGTGCTGCCGTTTGCTACTAATAGAAGGAATCTTCTCGATTCATATTTTAAATACTTTAAACAAAATTTCTATTTATGATTTAAAATTACTCTAATATAAATAAATAAATCTACATTTGTATTCATTCGAAACAATAATTTATGAGAACACTGATGGAAATATGTTATTTTATTTCTCCGGCATTCTTTTATATCTCTAAATTATTTTCTTCTTTTTTTTTATTATTAATATTTCCAGAAGCATAAATTCTATTTTATTACGACAGTGAACCGATCGGTCGGGATCGACATGGATTCAACGATCTCATCCGATGTGTCTTCGGCATTTTCTGCTATGTCCATTACGTGGCAACGAGCTTATTTTGTCGATTCCTTCGGCGGCGCCGCCGCGTCCGGTGCTTCCGTTCTTCGTTATCCGGTAGCCAGTAGTTAAATTATCTTATCGATTGCGCGGAAGAATCTCTCCTCCCGCGAGAACGAAAGAGAAAGTAGAAAAACAGAGAAAAAGGAGAAAAAGAGGAAGAAAGGTTCGCTGTGGCCGCGCACCGCCCCTTGCAACGTCAGCCCTGGCTCCTTAACGGCCCCCGAGGACTTTCCAGCGAAAGTGATGGCCGTGGCTGCGTAGGAAGGGCGCCGAGAGAACGGTGCGGGAGTGGTAGTAGCGGTGGTGCTCCGTGTTCTCAGCTCTCCCGGGGAGGGGCGAGAGGCAAAGTCGTCGTTGACGGAGGGGTTGGTCGGCCGCGAGGGAGGTCGGCTTCGGAGGACGACAGGAACGGCAGGAAGGGCAATACGACAGCAGCGAGCGCGCGTGTGAGGGCTGGCGCGGGTAGACGCGAGGGAAAGATACGTCGGTAACCTTGCAACCCTCTTGCGTACGCGCGGAGGAAGGGGAAAAGAGACTGGAATCCCGTCGGAGGGGTGGCGGCCGGCCGCGAGCTTGCGAAGGCAGTCGGGGGTGCAGCCGCGCACCGGGGCGGCAGTGACGGGCGTGACGTAGTCGGAGGAGGATGTACGCCCCTGTTGGCGAGGGCCCCAGCAACCAACGACCATCCCTGGTCAATCCATGGTGGCTTCATCCGCCAGGTACGACCGACCAGTTGTTGCTGTTGTCGTTGTTGTCGTTGTTGTGTTGTGCCTCCTCCACCTGTCGCGTTAGCGTCATCGGGCATCGATGTCATTTCGGGAGGCTTTCGCGGATATTTGTTTGTTTTGATTGCGGCTCTAGGGGATCGATTCGTGTGGGGGTGCGAAAAATTACGAAGGGCGGTTCTGAACTTGAAACGCAGCGGCGGTGCTACGAGGAGGGACATAAAGCTCGCTCGCGAAAGCGACTACTATAGTGTGATAAATAGTGAATTTTTGAATAGCCGTTTCTTTTTGGATTGGTGAAATGAGATGGCCTCACTTTAATACATCAGTGATAAAGAAATCGTTGCGTTCAACTCGCAAAATATGTTTTTTTCGAGTTTCGCTAGTATTTCTATATTTTTATTTTGATTGTGACCTGCAGAAATTAAGGAACTGTATTTTCGTTAATTATTTTAAACATTTTTATTTAATATTTTGCATCGCACTATATTGTGTATATTATATATGTAGTTATTAGAGTAGGTATAACTTTAATGCATTCGAATACATATAAAGCTTGGCGCTGTCGTATGTAATCGCTATATATTTAACTATATAATTCCGGTATACATAAATTGTACAATTATAATTATCTATATTCGTCTCACGTTTTTAAAAATATTCACCTTGTAATGTTGATTGAAATGTTCCGTTATTTCAACTAAACAGTAAATATTTGTTTTCACAATATCCTGACATTAATATCGTCTTACGCTCCGCATAACGTTGGAACTTTCAACAAAATTAGAGCTTATGCGTTCGTTAAATTATCGACCATTATTACCGGCGCATATACCGTGATTTCAACGCACTTCCTTTGTTTCTGCCGCTCTAAAGTACGTACACGTGCAGCAGCAACGACGGCACATCGTCATCGTACGTGCATTATGCGCGTAGCGGTACCTCGACGGAAGTCGCATTTATTTCGTTGGCGTCATAAAAACGGATCGTACATTCTGCTTCTTCCACCTAATTTCCCTCCCCGGCGGCTTCGAAAAAACGCGCATCGCTCCCGCGGGGCGGAACCTCCCGCTAACGACCTCCATTCGGGAAATTTATTGCGCCGCCGTTCGTTTTACACGGCGGCTAGAAAAACTATTTCTCCGCGGACCCGGACACACGAAAAAGTCAACGCGGCTTCCGTGTACGCGATGATTCTCGAGATGACATGCTCGACGCGCGTTGCCGTGAACGAACATTTTAAACAAGGTTGTTATTCTGTATAGCCCTCCGAAACAGGAGAATCGATGATATTATGGTCTTCGTATTTTAGAAAATCCTCATCTCTCCATCAAAAATCTGTGCTACTCGTTTTTGATTTTAATATCGCGATTACCCGCGCGGAGAACAATCGGAGAAGCGGGATAGCGTCGCGTTTGCAAAAGAGCGAGAAAGTGCACTCGATTAGCCGATAAGGATCTCGAGGATAGGAATCGCGTCGCATTTCGAAAGCTTCACTTTCCACCTCCGGACATCGGGAAGCGATGTGCATCGGAGGCGAACATTGCGTCGCGCTTACTCGTGACGATCGAGCTCGCTAGTAGGGGCACAGTGTTAAGTCGACCCAAAA